TTGGTTATTTCTGTCTACTGCTGGCTTTGGTGTTGCTTTCCTCTTGTTTTTCTAGTTCCTCTAAGTGTGATTTTATGTTAATTTGAGAATTTTCTAATTTTTTGATGTGAGCATTTAGTATTGTAAACTCTCCTCTTAACACTGCTTTAGCTGTGTCCCAGAAGGTCTGGTATGTTGTATGTTTGTTTTCATTAATTTCCAAGAATTTCTTGATTCCTGCCTAAATCTCATTGATTACCCAAAAGTCATTCAGAAGAAGGTTGCTTTAATTTCCGTGTAATTGTATGCTTTTGAGAGATCATCATGGTATTAACTTCTGTATTTATTGTGCTGTGGTCTGAGAGTGTGGTTGATATGATTTGTTTTTTTTGTTGTTGTTGTTGCTGTTGTTTTTTTTTTTTTTTTTTTTGAATTTGTTAAGAATTGCTTTATGTTCAAGTATATGGTCAATTTTAGAGTATGTGCTGTGCGCCAATGAGAAGAATGTATATTCTGTTGTTAGATGGAGTGTTCTGTAGAGGTCTGTTAATTTCATTTGATCAAGTGTGAAGTTTAAGTCCCAGATATGTTAGTTTTCTCCATCCCTTTACTTTGAGCCTATGAGTGTCATTGCATGTGATATGGTCTCTTAAGATAGCACAGTTGGGTTTTGCTTCTTTATTCAACTTATCACTCTGTGCCTTTTAAGTGAAGTGTTTAGCCTATTTACATTCACGATTAATACTGATATGTGAAGATTTTATTCTGTCATTATATTAGCTAGTTGTTGTCTAGATTTGATTTTGTAGTAGCTTTATAGTGTCAATAGTCTGTGTACTTAAGTGTGTTTGTATAGTGGTTAGTAACAGTCTTTCATTTCCATATTTAGCACTTCCTTAAGGACCTCTTGTAAGGCAGGTCTGGTAGTAATGAATTTCCTTATTCTCTTTTAGGGATGCCAGTGAGTCATAGATTTAGTCTCTTTACATAATCCCATATTTCACATAATTCCACATTTCATTTTTTAAAATTTGTTTTCATTATTTTTGTCTGTCTGATTTGATTTGAAGAACCACTCTTCAAGCTCTGAGATTTCTTCATTAGCTTGGTCTATTCTGCTGTCAATACTTTCAATTGTATTATGAAATCCTTATAGTGAGTTTTTCAGATCTATTAGATCAGTTTGTTTTTTTCTTAAAATGGCTATTTCATCTTTAGCTCTTATATCATTTTACTGGATTCCTTGGATTTCTTGGATTGGTTTTCAACTTTCTCCTGAATCTCAGTGATCTTCATTGTCATCCAGACTCTGAATTCCATCTCTGTCATTTTAGCCATTTCAGCCTGGTTTAAAACCAGCACTGGGGAATTAGTGCAGTCATTTAGATGTAATAAGACACTGTGGCTTTTTAAGTTCTTAATGTTCTTGTGCTGGTATTTCTCTCATCTATATGGGCTGATGTTCCTTAAATCTTTGAAACTGCTGTCTGTTGAATAGGGCTTATTGCTTTTATATTCTTTGATATCCTTGAGGGTTTGACAGTGGTATAAATTGGGTTCGGTCAACTGGCTTCATTTCTGGGTGATTTCAGGTGGCCCAGGCTCAGCTCAGCACACTAGGGACTTCGGACCAGGCCCATGGCTTTGTTCTCTGGTCCCTCAAGGTTAAGCACCTGCTGTACTGCAAGGGCTGAGGTCAGCTAGCAGCAATACTCTGATGGAGGGTGCTGGCAAAAGCACTACATTGGGGTGGTGACAATGCGGTCCACACTTGTGCATGTATGCCATCAACTACAGGGCAGCAGTGTGGCAGGGTCCACGTGTGTGTGTGTGTGCGCGCTTGCTCGCGCGTGTGCTTGCCAGCAACAGCAGAGCAACAGCAGTGTGGTGGGCCCTGGCGTGGTGGTTGGGGAAGGCTGCAGGCAGGAGCATGCTGGGGAGGGCCCATCTGCAGAAGCTCTCTAATGGTTAGGTGGTGCCTACCAATGAAGGAGTTATGGTAGCAGCTTCTGGAAAGCACCCCCATTGGGCATCTGAGATTGTACTGCAAGTGGGCAAGGCCAGGCAGTTACCCTGGGACAGGCTGAAAGATAGGGGGTGCTCAGATCAGACTGGGCCTGTGCCATGGGGAAGAAAGTTATGCTGTGTTCATGTCCTACAGTCAACAAAGGCCAAAGCCACCTTGAAGAATGTAGTGAGCCTTGGGAGATGGGCATCTCTGGCCATGCTCTACTGCAGCTATTTCTATGCCAAATGCTCTGGATTCTGCACATATTAGAGCCCTGTCCCTGATAACTCTCTGATAAGCTGTCTCTGCAAACTCAAATGTCTGTGTGGGGAGTGGGTTCCCCTGCAGCTAGGATTCTGGGGTCCGTGTCTAGAGTGGGCCATTCCATGCCTGTTTAATTCTTCCCTTTCCCAGGAGCCCCTCAGGAACAGGAATGAATATTGATGCTCAGTAGCCTAGTGCAGAGTTCCCAGCTTCCTCTTCTTTATCCCAGGTTCTATGTTCTCCCTCTGTCCACTTTCAATGCCATCCTTCTGAAGATCTGGTTGGAGGGTGCAGGTCTTCTTAATGGGCTGGTCTCTTGGTGGGAGAAGCTCTTCCTGTCAGCCATCTTACTTAACCTGTTTTCTTAATAAAACAACTTTTGCTTCCTAAAGTTTTCAACCTTATATACAAAATAAATTCAGACTCTAAGATTCCTCACAATTTCATACCCAGTAAATTTTATTTTAAATAAATTATTATTTCAAAAACAATATAATAGCAGCAAGATTTAAAATGACTTTTCACCAATTGAAGGAAAAAAATTGAGATTTTAAGGTCTCTTACCCAAAACTTCTCATTTTAAATTACTCTGAAAGTTTCCATAAGTAAAAATCATTATTTATGTTAACTTGCAGCTAATTTGCTATGTAGTGTAGACTCTTCTGCCTATACATGTCTTTAAAAGAATCCATTTTTATGTGAAGTACTTATCATTGATGTCGTTATTTTTTATATTCAGAGTGAAATATTTATTTCTATATTTTCTGTCATTAGTGTGCCAAACACTTTTGCTACTGGAAAGCAATAAAATTAATCATTTTTGGCTTTGGCTGCTGTAATGATGCACATAAACAGCAATCCTGATGAACTTGAGTGAGAATGCTCACTGTGCTCATACTAAGCCAATTAGTGCCCAGTTATTTATTTTCACTGTAGTGGCGAGTGTGGGAGTGGTGGGGGTGCAGAAGTGGGGGAGATATAGAGAGAGAGATAAGTACTACTAGTAGAGAAAGAGAGACATAAAATTGGCAGAATACTTTTCAGAACAAAAACTGTGGCAGTAGGGAATCAATATGATAGGCTTTAGATAGCATTTATGACTGTGCTTGTGTGCGTGAAAACTTACAGGATTGTAAAAGTGCTTACAATTTGTCTTCAAGTTTAAACTACAAACAGACATAGTACTTTCATTTAAAAGTTAGGAAAATATAGTTTAAAATTTTTAATTTCTCTATGAACTTCTACATGTAATCCCATGCAATTGGAATTTGATAGTCCTTTCACATAGGAGAATGAGAAATAGCTAAGCATCCATTGTTGAAGTCATTTTTTTCTACAAGCATGGGCTCATCAAATTATCAGAGTGACAAAGGAATTAGCTATTATTCAGGAAATGTGTGACCAAGATAATTACCTTTTTTTTTTTTTTTTTTGACAGAGTCTCGCTCTGTTGCCAGACTGGAGTGCAGTGGCGTGATCTCAGCTCACTGCAACCTCCGCTTCCCAAGTTCAAGTGATTCTCCTGCATCAGCCTCCCAAGTAGCTGGGACTACAGGCGTGCAGCAACACGCCCAGCTAATTTTTGTATTTTTAGTAGAGATGGGGTTTCATCATGTTGACCTGGATGATCTCTATCTCTTGACCTCATGATCTACCTACCTCGGCCTCCCAAAGTGCTGGGATTACAGGCATGAACCACCACGCCTGACAACGTATTAAATTTTTTTAAAAACAAAAGCAACTATGGCTGTCAGGAGATAGACAGACCTATATTATATAGATATTATACAGCTGAACTTGATTCTCTTCCTCTGTCCATATAGTTTTACATATCTTTTCATCAGTTAGTCATTTTTAATTCTATGTCCAGAACTATGGACATATATTGACCTTAACTGTCAAATATATACAAAAGAGCCAAACTGCAGGCATAAAAAAAAACAAAAAAGAAGCAAGGACAAGCAACATTTATCCACAGTTTATTGGTCAACTTATGAACAAATGTAGATAATTATAAATTAGTATCCTTACTGATTGGTAGATTTTTTTTTATATTTTAAGTTCTAGGGTACATGTGCATAACATGCAGGTTTGTTATGTATGTATACATGTACCATGTTGGTGTAATGCACCCATTAGCTTGTCATTTACTAGATTTGTGTCACATATGCAGACAATATATTATTATTTAGATGTTTTGGAAATAATTCAGTGAGTACTGTAGCTGGTGGTACAGAGAGTAGCCCCCATTTGAGATCCTTCTTCATCTTACCTCTCAATCTCTGTGTACCAAAAAAGATGGGAGAGTGCTCCACCAGGAACTACTCAGTGGACATTTTTTTCATATATGTTAAAGCTATAGTCCCCCTCCTGTCGTGTTCAGTCCTCTAAAGTTTTCTTTTACTTTCTTAGAATATTGCTGTAGAATTTTAGATCTAACCTTAGGGAATATTTTGCAGACTAGGAAAGTTACATTCAGAATTATCAGTTGCATGACCAATTAGTGGTAAAACTGGTAATCAAACAATTTGCAAGACAGCTCCAGTTTCCTTTAACTACACTATCCTGCCTCTTTTATTTCCATTCATTCTCTTTTTATTCTCAGGATGTGGCCAAGAAGCATTGGAATGATATCTTGGTAACACTTCTTTAAGGATTTTCCTTTTCCATACACACAGAAAAATCATATTACTGGCCATATGTTTTCCTTTTGTTTGTTTTTTTAATATGTGTCTGTATTTTTCTCTAGCCTCAAAGCCAGTGGACTTGAAATTATGCACTGGCCCTATCCCTAATACTACACAACTGTGCCACATTCCTTGTCCAACTGAATGTGAAGTTTCACCATGGTCAGCTTGGGGACCTTGTACTTATGAAAACTGTAATGATCAGCAAGGAAAAAAAGGTAGGTCACGTGACCATGACATGCCTTTTATACCCACCAGTTGTATCAAATCATGAATTATTTTTAAAATGCTCTTCTGTGTTACTTGTTTGTGATATTTTCCAGAATGGTTAAAGACTATTAATTTCAAAAGATGAATAAACCTACTCCAGTGATAGTACCAGAAGATTAAAACAGAAGAACATAGGCATAAATGCTTGTTAATTTAGACAAAATGATGGAGAGAATCTGAGACAGTTTAGTGCAATGGTTAAGATGAGCTGTGGGGTCAGGCCTGGGTTGGAAAAACCTACTGTGTCCCTTACTGTTTAGATAAGTTAGTTAACTTTGTCCTCTTATCTGTATAAGCATGTAACAGTATCTGCCATCCAGGTTGTGTCTAAGGAATCAATGAGATAAAAATAAAGCACTTAGTTTAGTGCCTGACCCATATCTAGTGCCCAGTAATAAAGCTGCTTATTACTTTGAAGAAAAAAATGTAAAAACGGTATTATGCAAATGAGAGAGAAATAGAATAAATGCAATGGTTTTCTTATGGTGGACATGGTGAGCTAATTTTCACATGATCTCGTGATTAAAAACATTTTTCTATTTTGTTTCCAAGGCCAGTCTTCTAGTGATTCTAGTATGTTTACATAGCAATAAATAGACTTATTAATTTTGTTACACACTGTCAGGAAGGGCAACACTTAGATGCTATTAAAGCTCAAAGCAGGACTTTGAATATTTCACACTGGAGCCCACATGGCTTATGTTCCTAGTTCAAATTCCCAGAGGGTCTAAAATCAACGGAACCTCAAAGAGATTGTTTCTCTGGAACCATCCAACTTCTTAGAGGTTCATTTTCCAAATTTAATCATGTGACATTGCTGAAGATTTAAGAAAAATAGCACTTTTGTCTGGTAATCGATATTTCTAAATAGCTTGAAATTTCACTCATTCTTCGAATATTCTATAGCTACAGACCTTCCAAGTCAACCAAAATTTATCTCTCTCTCTGTTCCCACCCTACTCCTCTATGCCCCACAAGGGAGATAGGTACTATACGACATTTCTAGCCTTACCTTTGCGGTAGTAAGCTAAAACCAAAGGTTCTCATTTATTTTCATTCCGTTCATCAATCCATTCACTTACTCATTTAATGAATGGTTCATGACCACAGATTAGCTACAGTCTGGGGATACACCAGTGATTCAAAACAGAAATTACTTCTACCTCCACTCTTACCTAACTTTTACCCTGAGGTTTTATTCAACTTTCTGAAATACTCAACCTTTGATGGTAATAATAGATTTTTCTTTCCCCCATACTTCAGGCTTCAAACTGAGGAAGCGGCACATTACCAATGAGCCCACTGGAGGCTCTGGGGGAACTGGAAACTGCCCTCACTTACTGGAAGCCATTCCCTGTGAGGAGCCTGCCTGTTATGACTGGAAAGCAGTGAGACTCGGAGACTGCGAGCCAGATAATGGAAAGGAGTGTGGTCCAGGCACGCAAGTTCAAGAGGTTGTGTGCATCAACAGTGATGGTAAGACAGACGTGTCTATTATGTTTTTATGGACGTCCAACCCTGCATATATGTTTTTACTTTCTATTAAAATCCTGTGTCTTCTCGCATTAGAGCTGGTTCCATTTACAAACGTAGAAATAGCTGCTTCTCTCTCCCTCCCTTCCTCCCTCCCCCTCTTTCCCTGTCTCCCTCTCTCTTTTGTCCTTAATGAAATGGTGGCAGTGGAGAGGATCCATGAATAGTAGCAAGATAATGTTAAATGTGCAAACAGAACAGATCATATAACATAAGAATTAAATTATCATTAGGGTAATAATTAAATTGCCAAATTTAACAGCAACAAGGAAACGTAACTTTTTAAAGTGACTTTAAAAAAATTATAGAAAATGAAATGTAAACAAAGAAGGGTTGTAAGCGTTGGTTGACTTGACTCTAAAAGTATTTTCTGTTAACCTCCCTGACATCATGTCTTAGTGTTATCATTTCATTTCCAGGCTCGCAATCCACGAGGTCCATCACAGCCTAGAGTTCCTGAACTGACCTTTTGCTCTCTAGGACTCCCCTATTTAGGAATGTCCTAGAGCCACTGGATAGTGGCTTTTCACAAGATTCTTTTCCCCAGCCACAGGAATAACCTTGGACTTTTATAACTAATATTTGTTTGATAAAATATACTGTCTTGATATTAGCTCTAAGATTTTTACATTCCTTCCTAAGAGTACTGCTACTGTATTGGGGAGAACCCCTTACCTCTAAGCCATCCCTGAGTCACACAAACCGCAAGACTCCTCCAGACGTACTTTAAAACCTCTGGACAAGATCATCTCTAAGGTTGCTCTATCTCTTGAATCCTATGACTCTGCACATCAGAGAAACATGAGTGCTAAACCCCAGAGTCCAATAGTTGACAGTTTATGCTGTTTACAGCATATGCAGAAACATTCTGGTGCCCCCTTGGGGGTACTGGGACATCTGGTAACCGTCATAATTCTTTCCATCCTATTTTCTTCCAGTAAGCAGAATTGTTTCCTCTTGTGACTCAGTCACTGTTCAGTCATAAAGAAAGACACTCTGGGGTGGGAGACTGACAGACACTGCTATTACTGAGAAATTAGCCTTTTGTCTTTGTCCAGGGTCTAATATAGTCATGCAAGATAGTATTAGGTAAAATCTGAACCAGTGCTTGAGTTTGAAATGGGAAGAAGATCATCGCTCCAGATCTTTTATGATGAATTTTATGTATTCTGCTTTTTTGCTATGATAAGCATAACCTGCTGTGATATGTCCTCTCTTTAGCTCTTCCTTATTCTACAATAAAGAGAGGCAAAAAAAGGAAGTAACACTCAGAGATTAGCAGCTAGGAAAAGAAAGCAAAAGAAGCATGTTCTGTTTCTCTCTTACTCACATTTTTAATCCTAATTTGGATTACACAATACTGTTACCTTCTGAATTTCTGTAAAAACAGTAATGGTCATATTAAATTCCCTCAGTAATAGTACTTGATCGTTTTTCTCAGTTCAAACAATTTTTCTTGTCCTTCCATAGACCTATAGAGGAATTAGGGTCTCAGGTATTGTGAAAAGTGTTTTTGAGTGAAACAAAAAGCTAAAAAGTTAATTTTGCCTGGCACTTCTGCCTCAGTGTTATGCAATGAAAAATCAGATTTAGTCCACTTGGTGCAATGATCTTCCTGGTATTTGTGCAAATGGAATATATTTTATATAGACTAAAGGAGCCAGCTATTTAAAAAATGTAAATGGCTTATTTTAATTTTGTTAAGGAAAACTTATTTTGTGACGCAAATATTACCTCCTAGCTTGTCTTGTGAAAAAACGCTAAAAAGCAAGCAAAGGTATGAGTTAGATGTGTGTAATTGTATTGGCAATGTATGTTATAACCTAAAAAGCAAATTGATAACTCACAATACACATGAGCTGGTTTCGCTTTGTCTACATCACAAACAGAATTAATTTTAAAAAGATAAGTATGCAACTGATACTCAATTCGTTATTATCCTTTACAGGACATCTTTTCCACCATTAACTTCTATTTCCTGACATTAATTAGTTGTAGTACAACTTAATACATTAGCTGTTTCAGCTACATGGATGTATAAAATCAAGAAAATTATTTTTTTATTATGAATCCTAGAACCCAGTCAAATTTGTATATAAACTGAGACATAATTGGGCTGATAGAATAAAACAAAAAGCTGGAGACTTGTAAATACTGCTCCGATATTATCATATGGTCACCTGGTAAGTGTTTAGCAGCTGCACCAAACGTTGTTTTGTAATTAAATTGGACCCAGGGAATTAAAGTTGATTAGTTGTACAGACTCTACCTCTAGGCCTGGGCTGCAGCTATACATTTTGTTTTATAATTAAGTTAAAGCTCAGCTAGGGACATGAAGCGTTAAAGCCTGTGAACTGAAGAAATAATAAAAAGACTTTTTTGCTCACACATTCCTCACAAATTTCACAACTTTGTTAATGACCTCAAGACACTTAAAATCTATTTGTTTTCTGAAATATTCTTTGTCCAGACTCCCAGTGATCATTAAGATTTGCTGCTGCTGTTGTTCATTTTTCCATTTGCCTTCTAAGGAGGAGGGTTGGGGGAGGGTTGCAAGAGACCCCAGGAGGAATTTTGCATAGCTTCTCTGTCAGAGAAGAAGGCAGAGGGGTGTAACAGAGTTGCAAGACAAAAGAGAGCACAAAAGACAATTAGACTCTCCAAAAAGAGATAAACATTTCAATGTAGTAGAACAAATATTGATCATTAATTAAAGATCATCAGATCTGCAATTCCAGGTCTCTGAACACAAATGCAGGAACCTACTCCAAAGATCTGTGATCTGGAGAATCAGAGGATGTTATACCTGTAAAAAACCCAAAACCTGCCCTATTTTAATTTTTTTGATATTGAGTATGTTTCATTTACAGGTGTAAATCTGGCAAGGCAAGAATATTTTGTTTCCTAAATTGGCTTGTTAGAGGCAGAACAAAGCCAGGCTATTGGACTCTGGAGCAAGGGGAAAAAAGTATTATTCCTTACTTGAGAGTGTAAATCAAATATTGTTTCCATATTTCCTTGTCCTCTGCTTAAAAACAAAAAATATGATGCTGTCTATATTTCCATATCATGTGTGTTATTTCAGATATCGAGTACTGACACTTTTCCATGTGAATTTCAAAAAGTCAGTTAAGTTGTTTTGTTTTTGTTTTCGCATTATTTTTTAAAGCATAAACCTCAGTGGTTTCAAATGCCTGAACTTCTGTGCTATCTTTCTTTTCTTTTCCCCACATTAGTAAAAGTTAGCATATAACCAATGACATGGGCATAAGCAATCACTTTCCTACTTGACCCAGATTAAGAAACCCAAACATACTTTTATGGAAGTAAATCATTGCAAGTCAGCATTACCCAGCTATTAATGATACAGTATAAGAGTAATGAAGGTTGCCGGCTAGGGCCATTCTTGTGTATTGTGCCATTCTTGAATGGGAGTAACTCTGCTATCCAAAGACTCTCAGCACCATGCCAAACTGACTGGCTTCTAGTAATGCTGAAGAAGACCTATGTCTAAACACATGTGGAGATGAGCACTGAGGCAAGCCCTAGAAGCAAGTTTTTCTGACTCTTTTGGGTACATTTCTACATATGATCAAAAGTATCAAAATAACTGGCTTTGAAAACATTTGGAGGAAGTTGACTGTGTTAGGGTATTTGTGCATTGCTTATAAAGAAATACCTGAGGCTGAGTAATTTATACAAGAGGAAAAAGGGTTTAATTGGCTCACAGTCCTGCAGGCTGATAGGAAGCATGGCACTGTTAGGTGTTTGGCCTCTGGTGAGGCCTCAGGAAGCTTTTATTCGTGATGGAAAGCTAAGTGGGAGCAAACATCTCACGTGACAGAGTGGATCAACAGAGGGGGAGAAGAGGGAGATGACACACATTTTTAAACAACCAGATCTCATGAGAACTCACTATCATAAAGTCAGCACCAAGGATTTGGTGCTAAAGCATTCATAAGACATCTACCCCTGTGATCCAATCACCTCCCACCAGACGCCAGCTCCAACAGTGGGGATTACATTTCAATATGAGATTTAGTGGGGACACATATCCAAGCTATATCATTGACTTTAGTATCTAGGGCACTGGCTTGCCATGTGACTGCTTAATCTTTCTCAACTTTTTACCACTAATTTCTTCCTTCTGGAACAGGATATGTTTCTGCCTATAAGACAAGGAAAGGGAAAACTTGAGTACTATTTCTTTCCCAAGTAGTTCTTGTCATGCTTCTTTGTTTCCGTGTAGTCAGAACTAGGAGGAATATGGGGGCATATCATTTCAGTATGTTGAAGAAAATGTAAGAATTTTGAAAATTTATACCATTAGAGAACAGGACTCATTGTGGAAAGAGATGGGGAAAGATAGTGCCCTATTTTAAGTCTTATAGTACAATTTGTATGCAATATATAAACTGAATATTGAGTTATTTTTTTCAGACACATATGTATTATTAAAAAGTAACAGTGTGAAGGGGGACAGAGGTAAGTGGGACAATTGGCAGAAGATTGGGAGCAAAGCATGCCAGGAATAGAAAAAGAGAAGTTATAGAACTCATAGATGGAGACTAGTATTTTGACTAATTCAGAATATTCATAGCTTGTTCCAGAAGCATAGGCCAGGTCAAGGATTAAGATGCATCAAGCTTATTAAGGATGTGCTCCCGGAAAAAATCAGCAAGAAAAGGGGGAATGAAGAAGCGAAATATAGAAAAGGGAAAGGGTCTTGAGTTCCTAAAACCATTCCCAGGTTTAGTGATTCACTAGGAGGATTCACCATACAGTTGTACGTATAACTATGACTTATTAAAACAATAACATGCAAAACAAAATCAGCGAAAGGAAAGTGTACTTGAGGCAAATTTCAGAGAAGAGGTGAGTTCCAGAAACTTCCAGTTCCCCATATTGGCCAGACAACCCTAGTGTCAAAGGGCAATCAGCCT